CTACAGCTAAGTTAATGGATGAATATGTACTGCATCTCTATTAAAGCGGTCCATTAACCTGCGATAATACAAGATTATACAAAATTTATTTCTTGGCTACAGAGTTTATGAGTTTTAAGAAAATATAACAAAACCTTCGACTAAGATTGGTCTTAGTCCAAGAGCAAGCAAGAATTTAACTGTCATTCTCACCTAAATCGTATCATAAAACTTGCAGACATTTTAATTTTCATCTGTCTAAGTTTTAAGCTATTCAAAAATGCACTTTATTGTTTTTGCTTGACTTGCTAATAGGTTAAATAAACGCTTGTACCAGACAATAAGCAAATATGTTTTTGGGCAATTGCATCGAAATGCAATAAAATGAAATCCAATTAAATTGTGGCCAATTAATTCAAATCGAGTTGAAATAATAATTGAGTGACAAGTGAAGTAAAAGTTTTACCTGCCACCCATGCCAAGTTGTCAGCAACAGTTTTGATGGTTCTTACAACCCAACCAAAGCGAATTCCATTTGCGGATTTTACTTGAATCGAGTTCCGTGTTCAATCAAACATTTTTAAACATTTCTTCAACCGTGTAACTCCTGCCGATGCTATAGGAGGCAACGGAAAACTGCCCAAAACACGCACAGAAATCACTCACAAAAATGTTGACAAAAAAAATCCCAACGGCCTTGCGCGAAGGCGGCAATTTAACGGCAGTTTGACTTTGCCAACGGCAGTCGCATCCTTTAAAGCCTACACGTGGAAATGTGCTTAAGCACAGGACGAGTGCGGCACAGGAGCAGCAACAAAAATGGCAATGCTCAAGTGGCGCAGCGCTTAACACAAATTAGACGCACTTAATTACAGCGCAAACAGTCGTCGGGAGTGGCCGTAAAATGTGCGATGAAAACGCTTAAGCCGCAAAAAAAATTAAATGAATTGAAGCCAACTTGAGGCGGACTCAAACCAACTAGAGACACAGAGGGAGAGAAAGAGAGGCAGACAGATAATGTGATAGAGACAGAGATAGAGCTGAGGACGGCACACTGAAAATTTTAATTTCGGCCCACAAGTTGCGGCTTAAAACTCAATTAAACGAATTGCCAAAAATTTAATTACATTCCATTTTGTTGCACTTTAAAGCAAACGCAAAGCAAAGCTCAAAAACATTTTAAAAATTCACGGCAAAAATCTTCTGTTAAAGTAATTTTTGCATCAAGTTGGACAATTAAGTACACACTTAAGAAGCTTAACAAGAACGAGATTAGTTCGATGTTGGTTGAAAGCCGAATGTTAATTCTTATGTCTATCTTCTTTCTTATATATATTGGCCAGGAAGAGGTTGTTTTTGAATATACCTATTTAATAAAGAATATTTAGTTTGAACATTAATGAATGACTAGTTATGCATTCTACTCTATAAACAAATATATATGTATATGTGAAAAAAGAAAATACCAGGCTGTCAGATATAGTAAATATGAAGGTGTCCATATTGCGAGAGCACACTCTATAATTTGAACCAGCGACTTCCAATTTAGTCTTGTGGCTCTGTGCCAAAACTATTTGGGAATTATAATTTATGATTTCTTTTGGGCTAAGCACTTGCTATGCTAGTAAATGCACTTGGTCTAAAAATTAATATATATTTAAAGCAATACTCATTTGTATTTATGTAAAGCAATATTTAAGAATCACAACAACAACAACAAGTTCCAATGAGAACCCGAGCAATCTATAATCCATGCCCATAAGCAGTAAACGCTGGCAAAAGTTTTCAAGGCTTTTCAACCCTTTTTGCAAATACCCGAACTGCCCTCGACAACAACAGCTATTTCCTGTTCCGCTTGCAGCTACCCCGCGTATCCGGCCACGCCCACCCATGACGTTTATCTGGCAAACAATACGCTCATTAGTTGTCGGAGCCGCCTCATTTTAGGCCTCCTGTTGTAGCCATTGCCACTGAGCTGGCGACGTCAAACGCTAAGCAAAGTTTTCTTAATTTCGATGGGGGGCACACATAAAATAATATTTTTGTTTCGGCAAACTTTGCTGGCAATTAAGTTGTAAGTGCCAGAAACTGGCCTAAGGCTCACAGCAATGCGCCCCTTTTCGCCCCTTTCCAAATGAAGTCGTTCGTTTTAATTATTCAGATTGGGCATTAGCCGTGCTGGCAAATTTCGATGCCAGAACTGAGTCGGGCAAAATGTTTCGAGGCGAATCATAAAACTGAAAAGCAATATCTGCTGCATTTCGGGTTAACTTTTCCACTCGAGTTGCCGCAGCTGGCCATCCAATCGGGCAGCGGCGGGGCAAGTTGAAGCACTCCTCTCGAAACTGGTGACAAAGTAATGCAAAATGAATATGCAAATCGCACGAAGATTGACTGCCCCGGCTAAGTGCTGAGATCCACCCCAACTGCAGCCATGCAGCTGGTAGATGGCAGTCCAACAAGTAATGCCACTTTATTTAAGTTTCTCCTGCGGCCATAAACCTCGGTGGCCTCGAATTGTTGCCAATGCGTTCAACTTTAGAATGGAAATCGTGGCACTTTGTACGCAGTTCTGCTACCAATAAAAATCCAACCGAAAAACTTTTGCTCTGTCAATGGCGGAAATCCTTAAAGGATTACATCAACAAAACTGTAGAAACTGAGAAAGAGGCTCTTAAAACTTAAAACGATTTGAATGAGAATTAATTATTGGCGAAATCTAAATCTCGTTTGTTAGTCTTAGTTCTTGACTAGGGAAAATCTTTTAGACAGTTCTAAAGTTGCCTTCTTTATGGCCGTAAAATCAAGATAAAAGCCCAGATAAATAGATGAGCAACAAATTATATTAAAATAAAACACATAAATTGGTAAGCAATGGAAATAGAAGGATTATCTTAAACTTAGAATATATTTAGCTATAAACTTCAGATGTTAAAAAAAACTGATTATCAAATTAATTTGGCGTAGCTCTGGAAATCGTTGAGAATTAGCTATAAAACGAAAGATAATTCATCTGTAAATACTATTTTAGAAGCTACATGTCAAGTTTAGTGACTCTAGCTCTTAAGACCCAAGAAAAAGGATTTCCAAATCGGTTTTAATCGATTGCTTGGAAACGGGGCAGACTTTCGATTATCGGAATTCTAGTCGTACTAAGCGGGCACTATGAGTACCCAAGGTCAACGGACATGGCCAGATCGACTCGGCTATTGATACTGATCAAGAAAATATATATTTTATGCGATCGGAGATGCTTCCCTTTGCCTGTTACATACATTTTCACAAGTACATTACACCCGTTCTACCCATTTTTAAGGGGTTCAGGGTTTTAACATCGTTAGCATTCTTCCACTTTTAAATGTGAGTGCTTAGTTGGTTTGTACCCATGTTTATATAAACATTTATTTAATTAGATTTTATTTTAAATTCTAAAGCTACAAAACTAGCATTTAATTATCCGTATTCAAATATTCGAAGCTAAAGTGCAAACTAATGCAACTATTAAGAATGGTTTGCAGCCTTCTCTCTATAAAACTGCAGATTTAATATTAAAATCTCGATACATACGCGTAAAAAAGTGAATATTAAAGGAATCATAATGTGCCAATTTTGCGTGAAATGTGTTTGCCAATGTTCACTTAGGCTACAAAATATTCTGGCTTATAAGCAGGCGCTTTATATTTATGCCATCTAGAGCACAATAACGGAAGGAACATAAAGTCTACTTTTTTTGTATTTGGATAACCTCTTAGCGCCCTTCCGAGCGCCTCGAGTTGTGGCAGCATTTTATAACAATCTGCACTCAACTCAACGCAGCTCAACTCAAGTCATAAACATAAAAGTCTTGGCAATGAAATGCCAAACAATAAATAATAAAATAAAATGCGAGCAGGACAAAAATCAAATTCCGAAAAAGAGAAAAGGACAAAAAGACAAAAATTGGCGAAAGAGCGAGATGGAAAAGGAAATTAAATATTCACGTATGAAATAGCGAGGCGAGGAAATTACGCATACTAAATTATAAAAGCCAAATAAATGTGGCAACGGAATTCGGCGATTGGTTAGCTGGACGGAAGAGGGGGTCGGAGGGGCTTGAACTAATTAAAACCCCCCCATTGAAACATTGGGTCTATTAGGCGTCGCTTTGTCCTTGCTCACCACACGCAGAGCCATTAATTTATTTTTATGCTTACCATAATTTCTTCTATTTTCTTGCTGCTTTTGTTGTTACTCTTGTTGTTGTTGTTATCGCAGTGGCAATATTTGTTTTCAGTTTCTTTGGCAAAAATTGGAACAAAAACAAAAGGGCGGCCAGACACGCAGCGCTGCCAGGGAGTATATCCAAGCAGGGGCTTTAATGATGCGCCTTAACCAATACCAAGCGACGGGCGCTGGCCTGGAAAAACCAAAAATCTCTCTCCTGGGCATACCAAATATCCATCCCAGTGTGTGTGTGTATAAATATTTGTGCCTGAGCCTCGCGCGCCGTGTAATTTGAATACGTATGCATACTTAATTTGCCACGGCTTTGGCATTGGCTTTGGCTACGGCTCCGACTCTGACTCCGGCTCTGGCTCCGGCTTTGACTCCGGCTATTGCCGGTCGCCTGATCCCAGCAATGGTACACTACATTATTGATTGGATATTTGTGCAGGAATTTCATAATATATGTTAATTTTTATATGGCACGCGGCATTAAATGACGATAGCTAGCGATTGCAATTGAGATGTCCTTCTTGCTAAACCAATTCGAGATGAGCTACCCACAGCTCATCATATTGATATGATATTGAAGCTGGTCAAGCCTGTATACTCGATATGGCAGTTACATGCTGTGGCACAATTTTATTATATAACCCAATTAGCCATTTTTGATTAGATTTAACCATGCTCGGAAATATTTTTTCACACTTCCATAGTGCAATTTTAAATAAACGATTCGATATGTATTATTATGCAAACATAGCTAAAAGTGTTTTCCGCTTGGTGCACTTCTCAACTGGCCTTTAAATATCAACTCATCAGAGAATTGAGACTTAGAACACATTTAGTTGCCTTTGTTAAATATGAAATATTTCATTCTCCTAATCTTTGCCTTGACAATAAGCGTATTGGCAGGAGGGGAGAACTTGGAAGATGTTATGCCACCATCTCAGGGATGAGTGCAGCGCTAAAGCTGTACGCTAATAAAAGTAAGTAAATAAAAAATAAATAATCTTCCAAATAAATGTTAAATTAAATAATGAAATTACATTTCGGTAGAAGTTTTGGGATGTGTTTTATTATGTTCTGTTGGCCTGACTTTTGGATTTCAATCTCTATCTACAATACACATTCAACTGTGGTTAGTTCTGCTCTTCGTTAAATCACGGAAAGCAAAAAATTGAATATCAATATCAACAATTAGCATCTACTTTAGTGTCATTTTGTACTCTGCTGTATAATATTTACACAGAGTCAAAATTGGATAGTATCCCAAAGGAATTCCAATTCTTTACGGTATTCCGTTGAAGATGTTGAATTTGATTGATTTCATTATCTTTCAATACGCACTACATCTTTAGCTACACTCCCCGCACAGTCGTAAAAGATGCTCAGTGGTGGAGGAGGTCATCAAATGACAGGACGAGACACATTGAACCCGCAATTGTTGGCGGCAACATCAAATGGCCTCAACAGCTGTCCAAACGATGCCCGCCCAGGCATCGGCAATAAAACGAGATGAGGCTAAAACAAAAAGCGAATATCACGTGGCCTACATGAAAACAGAAGAAGAAGAAGCCCACGAAAACGGCAAAACCTCACAGTGATTGACTACGAGTTACCCCAGAGTGCGAAATGCAAATTATCAATGTTTAGCTATGATATTACAAGTATCAAATTTATATAGAATATGCGCAAACGCATCAGGAAACCACTTTTTTTTTGTGTACTCATGACTGACTTTTATATTTGATCGAACTCTGCAAAGATAAAGAAATGCTAACTGATATTTTACGATCCACATCATTTTGCGGGCAGTTTAATAGAATGGACATTTATCTTCTCCTTAATTATCTGGGATTAAGAATGTAATTTTTTTATCTATACTCTAACTTTCAGTTTATAGACACAGGAAAAGAGTTCCTCTTTATTTTATTACAAATATTAAATGCCATAAATATTTATCTGTTAGTTAATTTTAAGAAATTCTCTAGTCCCTCTCGTACTACTCCTGGGTAAGACAGCCTACATTTACAAGTACTCAGCTAATTTTTGACACCTTTAGCGCACATACCTTGTCAGCTATTGACTGCAGGGTAAAAGACTAGCAGATGGCAAAGAAAACTTTTTGTTAGACGACAATTGCCTGCAGCTGCACTGAAAGTCGCCCATCTTGCAGACACACTGCTTCAGCTCAAGCTCAAGCTCAAGTCCCAGTAAAACCCACTTGACTTCCTCCCGGCACTTAATCAGTCAAATTTTATGCGTTGCGCAAATAGAGAGCCAGAGAAAGTCAAGAGTGCAAAGTATGACAGAGAGGAAACTGCCTAGGGGAGTGGGAGTGGGATTAAGAGTGGAAGTGGAAGAAAAATACGCTGGAAGCAGCTGTTGACAAGGAGCTTTAATTGCTTTTAGTTTTTGGACGACGGGCACATAATAATATGTTATTAAATTCGCGTTGCACGTCTTAAAGCTGACAGCCAAAAGTTTCAGCTTTGCGACTGCAATTAGGCTAAGTGGACTTTAATGTGGCACAGAGTGCTGTGTGTTGCATTCCCCCCCCCCTCCCCCCTCCCCCCTCTCTCTGTCCGTGCCTCATCAAGCGAAAACCTAAAAAGACGCTGCAAGTCATTTTAGCGGTTACCAAAAAGTTGCCTACAACCAAACTTTGCATTTGCCCAAAACTTGCTCAAAAGCCAAACAGGGGTAAAGACTGAGAGAACGAGAGAGAGCGAGAGGGGGCGGGGGCGAGGGAGTGAAAGAACTGCTAGATAGGGCAGACGTTAGTTGACATTTTCAGTTAGGACTGACATACCCTATTGTCCTTGTGTTTTTACCCCTTGCCCAGCTATGATGCAATTTAGTTTGTGGCAAATTATTTTGTGTCTCATCCTCTGTGTTAGAGCTTAGACTGCGACACAGATAGATAAAGTTTTTGTTGTCGCAAAGTTCTTTCTTATGATACCCTAACAGAGCGCACAAGCCGGGTATATACGCGCTATCAAGTGGTTCGTTCTATGCTAAACAATCTCTTCTCTCTAACAGTAAGCTGACAGGCAAATGCTTGTTTGTCTAGGGTATCAAATCGTTGGCATCTTTGTTTGTTTTGCCTATTTCTGAGGTCTTATGTTTATGTTGAACTACACAGAACTTATTGTGGTTGAATTCGAGGCTTAGATAAATTTGATTCGCCTGCCCGAATGTGGAAGGTGATTTTGTTATGGTTGTGGTCCAGCCCTTAAAATAGACAATGCATTTGAACGAAAAATTGATGTTTTGCCAAAGTGTTCTCAAGTGAATTTTTAGTTGTTAAATGACTTGACTCATTTTAGGCCATTTAACATTTGCCTTGAGCTTCATACTGAGCTGGGAGCAATACGCCGCGCATCTTCCAATTAGCATGACTCAGCGCTGTGCTTCAGGCTCATCCATACAAATTCTGTTTTGGCAAAGAAACTTAACTAACTTTTACGACTCATGAAAATTTTCAGCTCACATTTATCTATGCGAAGTACGAAGTGAAAGTGCCTTTCATCAGCTTGAGCCTATTTTAATGTTGATTTATGTCAACCGCAGGATAAAGTTTACTTAACCGTGCCAGAAATGGCTGTGCTTTGCATAGATCCTAGAAGCGCGTCCCATAAAAGTCTTTGATTAAATGAAACCATTTATTACGTAGGTAAAGACAATGTCATGACACCTCTTTACCGCTTGAGTGGGGCTCGAGCTGGGGCATAAAACAATTTCTTGAAAAGTCACGAGCACACGCAGAGTTATGACAATTCGCGTTTAATGCCACGACACCGTCTCGTGCCAGACCGTGCCGCCCACCGTGCCACAGATTCCCCGGCAAGGGCAAGTAAACACAAACAAATTTTTAAATTTGTAAACACGCGCCAAACGAGCGACACGGCGGCTAACAGTAGCGTATCCAACACCCAAAAAACCAACTCAGTCCCAAGCCACTTGACTAGTGAACACACACACGCATACACACGCGCACACTCGTACGCCGACAGAAGCACTCGTGTGTGTGAGCGTGTGATATGTGTTGGTAACAGGAAATCCGACAATTTTTGAATTTCTCGCATGAGCCAAATAAAATAAACAACACGACGAAATACTAGTACACGCCTCCCTTATACGTTCTGGTTACGGTTAGTTCCCAAGACGTATTCCGTACTTCAATTTCGTCAATCTTTACACAATGGAAAACGGCATGAATATATTTTGCTTTCCATCCGATTGCCTTAAAACTCATATTCAAAGCAGAAAAAATATATAAATTGGGACGTGTGCAAACTTTTCGGAAGGTACAACCACGATATTTAACTGATGTGTTTCGATTTTGAAAATGCCAACTCAGTCGAAAATTTGTGAAAAATATATGCTGAAAATTTACTGATAAGATCATGGATCGGGCAAGATAGGTAATACCCTGCACGTCTGTTCTCCTCTACCAACACACAGACCAAGCTTACTTTCCGCTGCATTGAAAATTTAACGCAGAAAAACGTATTTAAATATCGCCCTACTATGCGATTCTCATGAATTCAAATAAGGCTTACCAGCTTTCATGCTTAAGATATAATTATTATATTAAGAAGTTGTGTTGAAAATCTAATAACAATTATTTCCCTTCCTACTCTCCCTCTAGTTGATTCTCTTGACTCTCTCTCTCTTTCTTTCTGCTACTCTTGCTGATTTACTTATATATGTTTTTATGTATTTAATTGAAATCAAAACAAGATCAGCTTACAAAAAACACGTAGGAATTAAAATTTAAAGGAATTTTTTACTTTTGAGACTGTCCTCGGTATAGGTTCATGCCCTTAAAAAAGTGTTGCAATCTTGTGTATTCAAATAGCAGCAGTAACGACTTATAATCGCAGTGTGTGCGATTTTCTTAGAGCATTTTTGATTAGGCACAAAAACACAACCCAACGACGCCCCCAACGACGCCCACATGGGAGGTTAATGGCGCACTCGGCGTATGCGTAATATTGCCTGCTCATATGCCACGCATATTTGCATAATTTGTCTGCCAGCCCCCACACACAGAAAACACCCACAGACACACACACTTGCACGCACACTCACTTGCACGCACACTCACTCACCTCTTGCAACACACACACATTGCCATCATTTAGCCAGCCGAGCTGTCTGAGTTAGTAAATTGCACATACGCCTCGTATGCCGCAGTCCCATTTGGGCTTGGGGCTTAAGCGAAAGGTAGCAACAATGCTCGTGTGGGCTGAATGCACGTCTAGCAGATACCTTGTAGGCAGATCTCATCTATATAGGCATAATAGTATTTAGATATATATTAGCATAGGCAATTTGCATATATATCGATCCAAATGATGATTCTGATGGAAAATATGCTTTATACGTTGCTGGGTGTTACATGCACTTTGGCTACTTTGTTATACCCGCTTGCCATCAATTTTTAATGTGTACGGGGTATAAAAAGCATTGTTAAGGCCTGCCTTAGCTGATTTGGCTGGGTCGGTGTAAAGTGTCTGTTGCAGTGCCCGACGCGCACTTGCTGACAAATTGAGCCTCTGATGTGCGCAAACAGGCAAAGGGTCTGGTAAATGAATAGAGCTGCTTGAGAGGATAAAACGCTTGTTCCCAAAATGGAATGTGTTGCTGCAACAGGTACTTAGTAAAACCATCTGCTTGAAGGGATTGCTCACAGGTCTTACACGCCACGTCTGTCAATCAGTTTCAGGTCAGATTGTGTTGACACAATGTGAATGCGAATCTTTGACTCAATCAAACTGGAATGAAACATTTAATTATGTTATAAACAGTATTTCATCTCTTCTTTATTAATTTATGTTTTCTTGTCTATTTGTGCTAGTCTACACATCATTTTGCTGCCTTGCCCATTCATTAATAAACGCTGACAACAGAAGAAGCAGCTGCTGCCTGCGTTCGTTTAACTGCAGAATCATTAACTTGGCTAAAGAACTTCATTATGTGGGCCTAATAAATCTTTTGAATTGGCTACCTTTTGACTGTTGGCCCAAAACCAACAATGAATCATAATGCGCAAGCCTGGCAAACACCTTCGAGGCAAAGACAATATAGGGACGGGGGCACACTCATACGCCCCGTGGCACATGCAACCACCTGGAGGCACAACTCGCTGCCAACAAGTTGTGGCCAACTCGTAATGTTATGGCGTGTCGAGAAGGCAGGCAATAAAGCGTAGCATAAATTAGCCAAATAAGCAGGCGGCTAACAAACAAAGCAAAACACAAAACTTTAATGTTTTGCTAGGCCTAACACAAAGTCAAGGCCAGGACAGAGCCTGGGGGCAGGCCAAACAGCTCGGCTTTTCGGAGCCCACAACTTGCGTAACATGGTTGTTATTGTTATTATTATTGTTGTTGCTGTTGTGTTGGTTGCTGTGCGTAACATTAGTATAAAAACGATATACACACACACACACACAGTCTCGCACACATAAACCATAACTGAAAGGGCAATAATGAAATGTCTTTATGTGGCGATTATCTGAACATAACCGGCTCCAATGTGCAATTAACCGGCATGCGGTTTTAACCAACACACACCCACACACTCACACACAAACAAACACACACATTCTTATGTATATGAACTGATATACATGTGTCATAAATACTATGTGTGGTAAGCAGCTCGAAATGGTTGCCAATAGCAGCTTTTGTCGACTGGCTTTTGGGGCTTAAATCAAAAGCCGCTTTTAGTTTCAGCTTATGCCTAGCTGCTGATTATCTCCATTGTCAGTTGTATTTGAAGCAGCTGTTATTAAACTTAAATTTCTTATCAAGTAACTTTTGCACAGCTGTCAATATTTCTTAAGCCTCTGCTCAAAAAGCATCGCCAACTATATCATGAGTTTATTTCCCTTACATTGAGCTGCCTTTAATTCAATTTTTTTTTTTGCCGAAGCTAAGCCAATCTCGAGCGTTCTCATTTATATTTAAAAAAAAATTATTTCATACATTCATAGCAGAGCTCATCAAATTGTGCGCTCGAAGTGAAAAAGTTAATAACATCAAGTCAAGTTTTTCGCAAGCCGGCAAAAGTCTAGCAGCAAAAAAAAAAGGAGAAAATTGTTCGACATGCCGTGTAGTTGTAGCTGATGTGTCCTGGCTGGCAGCTAGCCAATATTTATCCAACTATCTGCGGCTAGTCGGGCTTGAGCTGCGGGCTTTCGGTTTGTTTGCCATTTTTAAGCTCAACTGTAAATGAGATTTTGCACATTTGCTTTGTGCCCATCTTTCTCATTCATTTTTGCCCTTTGGCCCTCGAATGGCAATTTGCCACACAGCTTTGACGATTGCCCCAACACACGATGGACCTCACTTTCACCCAACCTGCCGACTGCCCCTGATTCTGACTAATAATCAACTAGCTGTCGGCAGCTTGAATGTTATTTCAAAATATTTCGCGAAAAGAGAAAGAAAAATAAAGAAAATAAATTAAATTAAGAGTACTTCTTTACAGGCACGCAATATGCAAGGACCTTGAAGGAGGCTTTATTTTGTTATTGTTGATGAATTTAATTTGCAAAAAACATAAACTCAAAAAACCTTATGCCATAATGCTCGCGGTAATATCCTGTACCCACGTCTGAAATGTCATGAAATATATAAATAGGAATTAGCGTGCGCTAACAATAATTATTTTGTGCTATTCAAAATTATATTCTTCATTTTTCTTTATATACGCTGGTGGAGGGTATTTTAATTTTGTCATGAAATGTTTACCGCATAGAAGGTTACATCTCCAACCACATTAACTATATATGTATATTCTAAATCAGCATCAACATCCGCGTTGATATCCCCATGTCCGTCTGGCCATCTGTCCGTCCGTCTGTTTCTTTGGGAGGTTCTCTCTCTTTTTAAATCTATCGTCGTGAAACTTTACATAGTTCCGGCTTTCTGCAGGCAGTACATATTTGGTAATCAGCCGGATCGGACAACTATATCAAATAGCTTCCATAGGAACGATCGGTCCAAGAGTTGGTTCTTGTATGAAAAACTTTCTTGTTTAACAAGATATCTTATCAACAAGGGAACACTATATCATATAGCTGCCATATGAGCGATCGGTCGAAGAGTAGGATTTTATATAGAATAATATTCCTTTTTCAAAGATATTATCATCAAACTCAGCTTTTGCAAGCTTCACGATTTTCATATATCTACATAAGGGAAATGTTTGCAAGAGTATCAAGTCATCGGTGTGCCAAAGAAATCCTCAACTCTTGATTCTTTTGTTAAATATACCCTTTCTCATCGGCAAGAAGATTGAAGCAAATAAAAAGGTTGTTTTATTTGGGTCAAAAGAAAAACCAGCTAAAGTCAAAATCTAAGCTAATAATAAGCCCAAAATTCCGTTAAGTTAAATGTTAAAAAATATTATAAACTGAATTAAATTGATGTATAAAGTAACTAGATTCTATTGCTATAAGAATATGCGCCACGCTGGACAATTTTTCTTTCATTTTACCTACATCTTTGGCAATCTCTTTAAAGAAATGGCAAAGCGAGTTCCAATTTAATTACTGATTAAGACAGCTGCGTGCTTTCACATAATGTGTTGCTGTGCTGGTATTCTTTTGCCTTAAACTGTTTAAATTCAAGGTTTTCCATTTAACAGCAATCTGCCCATGGATTTTAATGATATTTTTTCGCTCGCTGCCACACAATGGCACTTAGGTGGCAGTTGTTACTGCGCAGAAAATTGCAATCGACGGGCTTTTCACTTTTCATGTGATTCGTGGCAACGTGGAAAAGTGGAAACGATGGCCAGGCCAACTGACTGACTGCCACTTGGGCGTATGCGTAATGCGTAATTAATGATGGCCACGAAATTGTCAGTTTTTGACAAGTATCACTTGATGGACTACTGTCTAAGTCTGTGGCACTTAATCAAAACCAGACAAATCTCCAAGAAGCTTTCAATTAGTTGGCGCTTAAGTAATTATGTCTAATGCAAAAACTTGTGCCGCCTGATTGATGGATATGGAGAGGAAAGGGGGCAAGCAGGCAGCGTCCATTTCAATAGATAACTCGTGCAGGAAACACAAGTTGGCCCGCATTTGCCAAGGCACACACACACATACACACACACATCGTCAGTACTGTGAGCATTGCAAGGACTCGTTTGCTATTACTGGCACGCTCTGCTGGTCAGAGTGAAAGGACCCAGCGGCCAACAAGCCAACTGTAGGCCACCATGAATACCCATTCACAATATAAAATGTTTACAGTGTCATAAAAATATCAACAACAAATGCGAAACCAGAACAAACAAAAGCGAAAAAAGAGCGCAGAGCACAGCGCGTTAGACAAATAAGAAAATGTTGAAAGCTGTCATCGGAAAATTATCAGATGAAAGCAAATGTTATGTGCCTATGTGTTGACTCACCAAAACAGATTTTTCCACTGAAACTAGATGAAAAAGAACTAGAAATGCCTTTAAATTAAGTCCAAGTAGCAAAGTTTATCAATTCCATAAATACTACTTAAAAGCTGAAAGCTCGTGACAATCATAAAACTGATTTTGTAATTCTGCCAGAACCAAATAAGAAAAGTTGGGTACTTCTTTGTGCAATAAGCAATTTTTTATCGTTCCATGGAAAATCTGCAAGCATTCTTAAGGCATCCTCAGCGGAAGCTAATCCTAATCCTCATCCATTCTGGAATTCCTCCAGCAACCATCAGGCTCTCTTTGAAAATATCATTCGCATTCTTCCAGCATTCTTCTAGCACTCATTCTTCTGGGACTCATAATGCTCATCTTTCCTCTCTATATTGAACTTGTTTTGGCACTCTACCTAAATACTACCAATATTCTTCTTCTACAGAGCGACTAGATTAATTTATCTTCTGGCCTGTTCTATTTTAACATTTGTTTAAAAGGTTTACGTGTAGCTCTTGGGTGGATTCCCTCGGAGTCAAGTGGCAAATGCATATTGCAAACATCAAGTGCTTTCATATCAAGCAAAATCATCTGACTAAAATACAATGTGCCATTCAACACCCACTCGCACTCGAATATGCACACGCCCACAAACTGACACACAAGTCCTGCGAGAGCTCAACATGAAAATCAATAAAAAATATCGCATTACACACTTTACCCGCTTTGTTTTCGGTTTCATGCAGCATTTTTTTTTTGTATTTTTGTTTGTGCTTTTATTGTATATGTGCTTTGTGTCGATTTCGATTTTGGCGGCCACGCTGGCGTATGATTGATTTTAGGGCGCAAAGGCACAGGCACAGGCGCAGGCACTGACAAGTCGTCCACAGTGACTAGGCACAAAAACGTTGCATAACTAAAGGCGCCGGCAGCCGATACAAATTGCAATCGCAGCGTTGACATGTGGCAACGTGGAGCAGCTGCCATCAAAGAGCTTCACGAATTGCCAGTCAACAAATTCGATTCAATAAGCGCCTCTCATATGGCATGCACCAATTTTACGTTTTTATACCCTGAACTGGCCAAAAAAATGTATGTAACAGCCCAAAAAAAGTACATCTTCGAACCTAAAAAACATATTCTCCAGAATAACGAGCTGAGTCGATCTAATGATACCTGTCTGCCAGAATATACAAAAGCTAACGACCTGAAATTCGAAATACATATTTTTATATATCTCCTCTATTTTCTATAAAATCGATAAATATCGATTTTTATACTTGAGTTTGTTTATAATAACTCGAAAATTAAAAATTTCATATAGTATACAATGATAAAGAATATATTTAACCTTTTTAATAACTCCGCCAAAATTAGAAGAAACAAACCGATTTTATTAAGCTAGAGCCTTGAGTCTAGGTATATACACATATTAAGGTGCCATATTTAAGCTCAGAAAATTGCCCAAGGATCGGACTATAAATACCGACTTCAACATTCCATGGTCAGAGGCAAAGGTAAGAAGAAGCAGGGTAAACTGTGCGTATGTTTGTGTGTGTTTTCTTGTGTGTATAGAAGGAAGCTCGAACCTCAGTATGTATGTCCCTCAGTTGAGGGTATGCCCTAGTCGAGCACCTCCAGCTAGAACACGCTTAGTTTTCTTTCTTTTTTTGATGATATCCTCTTCTCGCAAGCGACATTGCCATGACTGTGCTCCATATTCATGAGGGCATGGGCGTGGCATAAGCTGATCAGAATGCGAGCCTATAGCTGAGCACGGAAATAGTCGTGCGCGGCACAACGAGATGACTTTTTCGAGTTGTTGCTGGCTTGTTTCTAAGCGGATTACGTGGCCGAATGATTGGGTTGAATGTCAGTTAAAAGCTTAAATTAAAAAGGTATTGAATTTTGATTGTAAACCGTGAAACATTGGAAAATACATTTTTGTCAGATATATTCGAACCAACACTCAATGCATCGAGGAGGCAAAATGTGGGCGACGCGAACAAATCGAGGCAATCATAAAGAGAATTTGTTTTGAGAGTATTGATTGTATTTGAGCGAGTGCAAATTGCAAAAATCCGAAAGTGTTTGTCGTAGATACAAGTATGCAGATACAAGCACGCACACACACACACACACACACGCATACGCACACATACACACTCACGCACACGCATGCATGCACTTAATAGCAACGATTTAACGCAATATTTAAAATTCGATTTTTATCTTGTGTTTTTGCAGGCCAGCACCAACAGGCAACAAAAGAGTACGTCAGGGAGGCAACGCTAATGGGCGGTTGCGCCACCAACAACAGCAACAACAACAACTGGCCACAATAGAGGCAGCAACAGCTGCGGTAGCAGGAGACATCGCCACCTTGTTACGATGTCAACGTAATGAAAACAAAACATAAAACTTGCATTTCCGTTGCCGCTGCCGCTGCGCGTACTGAAAAAATGAAGTCCGTCATCCTTTATCCGTATGGACCGCTAACGGGTAGCGCTCGCTGCTGTCGCATGTTGCATGCCAAAAATTTGGCCATAACAAGCGCAATTTACACAATTGTAAGTGCAACAACTGTTCTTGTTTTTAAAACTCTGTTAACATCATATTGCCACCAAGTCCCACCGGGCGTATGCGCAATGTCATTCTGAACTGTTTGTAAACTGTCCCAGTGGCAAAATTTCGCAATTCTTCAACGTAATTAATACAAGTGCCACGCGCGCTGAACAACTTTTATGATAATTCCTTTTTATCTTTAATGCAAATGGGGAAAACCTCATTAAATTGACAGGCAAATGACAAGAGTATTAATACCTACGGCAATTTTTTACAAATATATTATAAATTAAAAGTTAACTTTTCCAGTTCAAAATATAGCTCTTATTAGTTTTTTTTCATTTTATATGAACTACATAATTAAACAACTTTTTTAATTATTATTCGTGGAGAATTTTTAGAATTTTTATAAATAACAATTAAAAGTGCTCTAGTCGGGAGTGCCCGAAAAGTAGAGTACAGAAAAGCAAAAAGATCGGACTGACATGATCAACAATATAGACTTTTATATTATTATTATCAGCTGCGGCTTATTTGGCTGATCCTTAAATAAAATAGTATTTGGTCTCTATATAAATAGATATTTGTAGACAAACTCTTGCAAAAGATCAGCTACAATTGAATTTAAAGCAAAGCCAACTTTGAAAAGCCTTTAAGTTTCCAAAGACAACACAAACAGAAGTTAAAAATAATTAATTGTTAACAATATTTCTCAATTTACCTCCCGCGCTCTACCTGAGGTCACTATGCACCCGCCTTATAAGAACTATGGCCAAATAGATATCAGCTTTCCGCCACGTTGTGCACTCGCTTTTTCTTCATCTTGTGCCTTATAAATTGCAATTACACGACGCTCATTATGCCATTTAATTTATGTTAATGGCCGAATCGTGCATGGGATTTTTCTATGTACTACCAAATGCAGCAGCGGGGCCAAAGAACCAAAGGCAATAGCAACAATAACAACTGCAATTTGCGTATACAAATTATGTGCATGGCAACCTGCGAGTCAAATTTGTTGTTGCATTTTAAGTACCTGTTTTTCTTCCTCTTTTTTGTTGTTGTTGCCACGTGCAATTAGTGGCACGCTTTGTTGTATTCCATCGGGTTGAATTGTAAGGATAGTCACGGAACGTAATGAATGTCTCCGCCAAGTGTAAAACTTTGTATTTAAATATTAATTGCGCTGTAAAATTGCAGCACATAAATTTATAGCAGAATTTTACGATGAATATTTTAACTTCCGGCGACAGTCCGCTTCCTCTTCCACGCAGCCATTTTAAAAGCAAAGAAATTTTTTTTGTGTACAAACAAAAAAGGGTGTCACATTTGGCACCTTTTCAAATGCAGGCTCGCATTGCGTATACGTAATATGTGTGCTAATGTTCTTTTCATTTTGTTCTCACATTTCTCTGTCATTTTAGAATATATCACTCTTAATCGTCCTGATCTATTCGTGGCGCATCAATGTTAACATGCACAAATCTGCCGAGCTCCAGGATGTCTACTACGGTAAGCACTTGCATTATTCATTTAAGCCATTAAGCAATTGTACATATGCAAATACATGAGAATATGTCCCGGCTGGCCTTAAGCTGAGCATAATAAATGTTACACTTTGATAAATATACAAAATGTGGAGTGTCTGTAATTTAAAATATATTTACATATTTTATATTTATATATTTATATTTATTAGTCTAACATATACGTAGTTTCCTCTACCTAAGTTGTTTGTATCTTAAGAGCATTTGTGGATTTAGTTTTATTTTTGTCTTCTTATTTTGCAGGTGTGCAAATTGCATATTTTGCCATAATTGGCACACAAATGTCGATGATATTGTTAAGCATTGTGTTGATATTTGGCATCTGTCGGGTAAGTTTCGTTGTTTGCTAAAAGGCTTTTCCCCATTTTACAAAACTCAACAAAAGGTTGTCAAACAAGCAAACACACACTTATACACACACTCACACACACACACACACACGGACTGGTAAATCAAATAACTTCAAACCGAATATATGCAAATTATGCACATTTTGTGCCTGTGACCGAACTGTTTGCAGGCCATAAACAAATAAGGCGCATTCAAATGTAAATTACAAACTTGTGCGCCCGTAGGCGTATGTGCCACGCCTCCACTGTCTATCGAAGTGCGTCGAATGATGAATGAAGGACCAAAATAAAAGCACATTATCGACATTTTGAATTTCAAATGTCCTTTTATTATAGATTTCAGTGTGTGAAATTGAAATATTTCCACTGATAAATCAATTTTTTGATTTAAATTTTGACATATTATTTAAATTATTAGATAAGCTTTTTTTAAATGCATTAAAGCTTATCGAAATAACGTTAACTAAACTTATGTTTAGAGCATTCGTTTTAGACTATGTCAAAGTAGCAGATTTTTTCGAAGCTCGCTTCTGATATAAATTGGATTAAAATTGAATATTTATTAGAACAAAGTTAAACAAGTAGAAATTTTAATTTATGCCCAATGGCCAAATACTTTCAGCCAGTTTCTAGCTAACATGTGAATCGAACGAAAGTTAAACATATTTATTTTGTGTTCTTAAGCTGAAGCTTCTGAAGTAAACATATTCAAACGCAAATTTATGCTCTAGAGTATAAGAGATCTGAACATATTGAACAAGTTATTCAAGTAAAAACTGACAATGGCTTAAACTTCCTGTGAGAGAAGAATTTATGATGGAGTCATCGTATAAAAAACAAAAAAAAGAGATGTAAATAAAGTCGAACGAACCCGCCCAACATATTTAAAAGGGTTGCCAAAAAAAAAAAAAAAGGAAAATAGAATGCCAAAAAGATGGTTGACAATGCAGACAATTTGTCACACAATTGGGTACACAAGACCAACTGTCGGTTGGCTGACGACTGGCGGCGACACATGACAAAGATTATGTATCCAGTTGAAGGGAGCATTGCGTGGCGCATTGTGTGGAATTTTTTAATTTCGACCTAACAACTAAAACAAAAACAACAAAACAAAACAGAGTAACAACAAATGCGAGACGGACGCCAACGAATTGCCCTAAAATGTATGCTACACTTATTTGTATAGCTCGATGTGTGCACAGCACACGTGAATGTGTGTGTGTGTGTGTGTGTTTGGGGAAAAGAGAGCTCTGTATGTTGGCCAAATTAATTGCAATTTGCTCTTAGGCGCCAGCAACCTGGCTAAATGGGTGCCTGTACCCGTTGCGTTTAAATAATGCATAGACCATTGGCATTAATTAAAGCTGGCTGCTTATTTTGACAACAATTTGTATGGAAAACAATTCCATGAAAGTGCAGGCATTTTTAACTCTGTATATGTGTGTATGTGTGAGAAATGAGAGGAGCTTGGCACAAACTCAATTAAAATGAGAAAGAACTGTTGCAGGTTGCCGAACATGATATACTCTTGCAGACATTGGGCATATATGTGATATATATATTTCTAAACTTTTGAAGAGATAAATTTCCGAAAGATTGCTTTTATGGGATTAACATGGCTGGGAGATTCTGCTAAAATGTTGAAGTTAGAAGGATAATACCTATGCTCCATCATGTACGAATTTTATACGTTCGGAAACTATTATAATATTAATATTAGCACACTTTATTTAATCTCAAATAATGCACATAATGCAGCCCGTTAAATCGCTTTAAAAAATATGAAAATATTGTTGGTCTAAAAATGGAATATGCAAAATGTGCGGCTAAAACTGTCAGCAACAGCAAAGGCCGTGGCTGGAGAATAAATCTAATAAATAAACCTCAAAATGCTACACGCGTAAAAGTGCCAAAAAATGCAATCACAGGTTTTGCGCCCTAGTGAGATATATGACAGCACACGCACACACACACACACACATACGCACAGTCTCATATGGGAAATAAATTATTTGTTGGAGTGAGGGCGCGCAGAAAATCAATGCGTTCAATTTGATGCCAGCTAAAGGTGTGCAAATGACTTTGGTGACCTATCCATCCCATCCCAACACCCCCAGACTATATTGAAAGAGGGATGTAATATTTGTGTACCCGTTCTGTTCTATTGCCCACAGGAAAACCCCGGCCTAATTGTACCCTGGATAATTGGCTATATTACGTTTATGGCCTTAGAAGCTGTCGCCATGGTTTATTCGAATGTGTTGCGTGATCATGTGAATAAGGTAAGTCGAATCCTGTGGGGCGACCCGCATACCGACAGGTGTGGGAATTGGGCGCGCCAGACAAACGCTTTTAATGCATATCTAAGCTGCGTAGCTGGTGGTCCATTTATTTAATGAAAGCCCCCGCCAATCAGCCTTATGCTCAGCCAGCAGTCCGACAAAAGCCTCGGCGCAGCGGGAGCTGCTTGTGAATGATATCAATGAGAGTTCTTGAATGCCGCGTTGGCATAAATCAATTCGAGCCGAAGCACAAAGATCTGGCAAAACAAACAAATAAATTGCACGGACTCAATGCTAGAAAATAACAATAACGAGAACAACAACAACAACCACAACAACAACAATGAAATCAACGACAATAACAAAAGACCAGGGCAAAATCCGTTACATATGTAAAAGTTGCTTTTTTATGCTAAAATCAAACAAAGAATTTAGGTTACGGTCGGATGCTAACGACAGTTAAATGCACTACAAACCAGAGACAATTGAAATTGATATGTAAACACAAAACATACGCTTTCTTTTGTATTGGTTGCTGTGACATGTTTCCATGTTCCCAATGACGTTTGGCCCTTTGTCCGATTTTCGAGAGAGTTTTGCTAGCGACAAGCGGCGTTTATTTATTTCTAGGAATTCGTTTTTGTGTGCTTGGAAACGATGTTTTCTAACTGTTAGCGTAAAGCATATCGATTAATGTGAATCCATGTGAATCAAAGTCCAATAGTTAACATTTTTAATATGCGTTTCGTCAAGGTGAAGAGCGTGGTTAACTATGTAGATAAACCATAATGTAAAATGGGAAATTTTAGTCCAATCAGATTTTGCGAACAGAAAAATAATTGAATTTAATTCAAGATAGATGACCAAGAAAACAATATCTAATTAAATTTATATTATTAGATATCTTAATCTCAAAATTACCCAGAATCCGTATACCAAATTCTTAAAAATGAAAGAAAATTATTATAAAATCGGTTTTAAATGTATGTTAATGCTTAATATAAAAAAACCTTTTTGAAAACCTATATTGATGTGTGAAAGAAGGTTTATTGAATTGAATTGTCTTAACATTTAAATGAATAACTACCATAGCATGGAAAAAAATATAAAATAATAGATAGATAGAAAGATAGCTCAAATCTTCAGTTAAGAACTGTCACACTAATTTGTTATAGCGTAACCCTTTCGCTTTGTAGCTTAAAATTAAATTTTGTTAAAGCGAACGCTTTACCTTTGAATGTTGCAGTCACAGGCTAGGCATTAAAAACTGAGGTGCCTGATTAACCAAGTGAAGCGCATAGTCGAGAGCAAAAAAAATAAAAGCTTAAGCGCATACTTAAAAGTAGTTGGCAAAACGAAGCCGCAAAGCTCAAAGCTGACAACAGGGTTCATTCACTTACTCCCACACATCCCACTTCTCACTCTCTCTCTCTCTCGCTCGCTCTCTCGTTTACTCCTTTACTTACCCCAAGCGGGCGCCGTGGCATGCCATAGGCTTATTACACACATGCATTCACACTCTCTCTCTCGCTCACACAAACACACAGACAAATAGACACAGACTTGGGCATTTTTGCACGCCAACTTTTGCTGCTCTCCGCTTTGTCCCCGCCGCCATTTTTATTTGTCTTCCACATTTGTTTTTGCGGCTGCTTCTATTACGAACGTGCCCCGACGCGCCCGCCTTTTTTGTTGCAATTGTTGCTTGTTTTCCACCAAAGCGTTACAAAATTGCCGCCTCATGCATAATTTATTACAATTGTGGAGGTATAAACTCATGTTTTTGTTTTCTCTTGCGTTCTCTTCGCCAGCGCTGAAAAAATATTTGCGCCCTTAAAGTTTTGTGCCTCTTTTTTTAAATGCCCTGCAGCCAAAAAAAAAAAACGAACGGAAAATTGTATAATAGGCTATGGGAAAACGTGTATATATTATGAAACCGTCAATATAAAAGAATTTAAAGCCGAATTTCCCAAGAGTTAACAGTCATTTAATAAATGAATAAATTCGAAATTTATTAATGGGATTGAGGAGCCTTTGGTTACAGGGTATCTTTTAGGCAAGCAGCAGAGTGCTTATAATCTTACCTGGTTTATAGCAGCTTTTATTTAAAACATATCTGAGTAACTGGAGCTGCAATTAGTTTGCACCAAAAGAGTTTACCCTTAGTATTTTAAATATTATTAATTTTTGATCAATTAATTTGAATAAATTTTTATACATTTTACAGCAGTTCGATGCCATGTGCAAGGCTGAGGTGGCATTTTTTATCGCACGCGCTTTTATCAATGTGAGTAATTATACAAATTTTCGGTGAATGTGTGTGTGTGTGTGTGTAACCAATTGAAGCCTATCTAAAAGAAATTAATTTTCACACATCTATAAAATTGAGCTTGAAGCAAATCTAAATAGCTTAATCATGAGAAAAAAGCTTGAAATAGTTCTTCGCCAACTTTTAATCTTGGGCGTCTATTTAGCAAAGTCGAGCATTAGTTAATTATGAATGTTCTAAAACGCGAACTTTGGCAATGAGTTTGAAGCCAATTGAGTGGAATTATAGAAATATAAACCTTCTACGTGTTACATCAATTAGACAGTCAGTCAACAATTTGTGTGTTTTACACTCCGTTTTTTTTATTGCTATAAATAGCCCGTACATTTAAAAATTCGAATACACCTTGCCAATGACCAATAGATGAAATACAATTCTATATCGCCATCGACTTGAGTATTGCTTCATAGTTTCTTTTGCATAGAATGACAAAGGCGATTTTCAGCGACAAGCCCATCAGTTTAATAGACGTCTGCATGCCCTCACCCTGCACTCTTTTTCCCACGACTTTGACGGAGAACTTCAGCAGGCGTAAACTGAGGAAACCGTAATGATATATCAACCAGGGTATCATAAGTGCGGGCGAGAACTGTTCAAAGAGGCAAATTAATCCAAATTAAACACAAAAGCAGCGAAAATAAATCAAGTCTTACGGCAATTGCAGCATAGGTCAAACTTAACCAAGCATTTATGTGTAAGAAACCAAACCCACAACGCAATTGTCGAGTTACCTCGGGGGGGAGTATCAAAAATCGATTATTATGCCACAAAGTCGGCAGCTTGGTAACTGAACTGCAATAATGGCACGTAAAGATATACAGACTCTTCATCTGTTTGGGGATTCAAAGGAATACAGATAGATAGAGATTTTCGGATCTTAAGTCATACCAGGCCGTGCATACACATAAATATCAGTATTCGATGCATTATGAAAAAATAACTTTTGGGAAAATCCAACAATTCTATAGATTCTCTACTTGCATCCACCTTAAGCTTGTACCTGCGAGCAATAAGGAAAATTTGTTCATCGTATGGTATCAGCTGGAACATTACAAACGACAATTTAAAATATTGCTGAACACGTTAAATGTAATTACACAATTTTGAAAATCTATTTTTTATTTCTTTTTTTTGAAAATTGTACAATCTGATTACAAAGTCTTTCTTTGAATTCAACTATTTACATATTTTACTTGGCTTCCTATAATAAAACTTGAATAATTCTCCAATGCAAGTAAACAAACAATACAATTTGATCTCCGTTTCATAGTAATCGGCATGAATTTATTGATTTATGCTTTCGTTTAGGCGAATATACAACAAATGACATAAATAATTTGATTATAGGTAAAATCCATGAGCGCCATTAGCTCGTAAATCAACGACTGTGCAATACTCTAACTGCATATTCGTAATAAGTTACTTGCTCTAATGGCATCATGCCAGAAGACTAAAGAGTAGTTTATAGAGGTAAAAAGGGAGTGCAAAAATTAATGGCCTTCACGTTGTGGAAAACCAATATACCTTTTCTTTCTCTATTGGCAACAGAGTATAAACATAAAAATGTTTTTCTGGTTATTTAGAGTGTGCGTGTATGTGTGAGTGCTAAGTGGAATTTATGTGACTCAATTAAAACCTATTCTCTCTCTGCCTCTCTCTCTCTTAATCTCTCCCCCTCTCTCCCCCTGTCTCCCATCTAAATCAAACAGGTGCTCGCCATGTGGGGCGTATTGCGTTTCTATAATCTGGTGCGTTCGGGCATCACCTGGCGCGGACCGGAGGTAAGTGCGATACAATTCATTTTTCTCAATAAATGGGAAAACAGAAAAAAGCGAAAAACAAAAAATCATTTAACGTTGTGTGGCTTGTGGTTTTCCATAAAGTAAAGTATTAAGGCCGATTCGGCAAGCCGAAGATTCAATACTCTGGACTAGAGCTTAAGTTTATGTGAGGAGAATAGTGATCAAGCTGGCTCAAGATATGTTCATAAAGAGGAAAGTTATCAAAGCACTATATAATAGAGGTATATATAGAGGGTTTATGATATAGAAGTCGGATCCAGCCGATTCAACTTATACGCTGCCGCAACAAAAAAACGAATCAATGCAGAGTGTCTGAGCAATTGGGAAACATGACGGACTGCTGCCTGTTAATCAGGATTATGTATACTTTATAATATCGGTATCCATGACAAAATTATAAAATTCTCGACATGTGGGCCGGATTGCATTTCTATAATCTGGTGCGGTCGGGCATCACCTGGTGCGGACCGGAGGGGATTGCGAAAAATTAAATTTTCTCAATAAGTGGGAAATAGAAAAAAACGATTAAGAAAAAATCGATTAACTGTGTTTGGATTTTCATAAAGAAAAGTATTGAGGATAATTCGGCAAGCCGAGGAGGCAATACCCTAGACCATGGCTGAAGTGTTTGCCAATATGTGAGGAGAATAAGGCTCATACTGGCTCAAGATAAGGGTGATAAGGGGAAATGTATAAAAAAACTCAATTTTCGACCGATTCTATCTATAGTATACCTCTAAAGATATAGTTGATTTATGATAAAGTGGTCCGATCCAGCGGATTCCGACGCATCAATGCAGAGTTTCCGTGCGATTAGGAAACAGGACAGGAAACGGACTTTTACTTGTTGATGATCAGGAATTTGTGAATTTTATGGTCCTCATCGGAGGTGTCTTCTTTAGTCCATGACAAAATATAAAACTCTCTACACAAGTGATTTAAATATTTATCGCCCATATGTCGTTGCTCTTTCCAATCGAAACCAGGCCAAGACCGCGATCTTCGCGCCCATGTACAAGAGCGTGAGCACCCACAGCAAATCCTCGGTGGTCCATCTGGAGGGTAAGCGCGCCAAGCAGCGCCAGCGACAGCGTCGCTACAGCGTCGAGGCGGAGAGCGGCTGTTGCGCCATCTTCGACTTTGACTTTGACTACGACGACGATGATGAGGAGGATGCGGAGGATGATGCAGTGGGCTACGATTATGACGACTACTATGACTATTATGAGGACGAGGATGAAGAGCAGCTGGAGCTGGAGTTGGAGCAGCAGGAAGATGCGGACTGCAGCATGCTGGGCGCGGGTGCATCCAAATCGCGCTCTCGAACGGCAGCAGTCCGGGTGAAGGGTCAGCGCCAGAGGCGCAACAACAACAACATACGCAGCGTGCTGATCAATAAGCGCCACAACAAATACAAAATCAGCCGGCCACAGACACAGCTGGAGGTCATCAACGAGTCGGAGCGCAGCGCGGGCAGCGGCAGCGACGAGAACGACTCCCTGCTGGTGGCCTATGACAGCAGCTCGTCGCTGGCGTCGGTTTGACATTGGCCGCCATGCCACAATGGAACTTCAGCAAATGGGAGCCGGAGCCAGGCAATGCCACCAGCTGACGACAGCAGCGGGAGTGGAAGCGGAAGCGATACCAGCAGCAGCAGCAGCAGCAGCGGCAGCAGCGAGGACGACGACACTCGGCAGCATCTGCAGCCTGGAACGCGGCTCTCTGGCAAAGGTTGTGGTCAGCGTCAGCGTAAACGCCGACGTTCACTGCGACGCGTCTACTGCGCTGTAAATGTCTCCATAATGGGCCTCTTGGTGGCCGTGGAGATATACGCACAGCTGGCCATATTTCTATAGGTAGGTCAAATCGTCACATCTTTGCTATCAAAGAAGATAAAGCGATCAGCACATGACAAATAAATGTAATAGGAATCAAACTTCAAATACATATAATAAGAAAATCCCTATAAAAAATAAACATATTAAATAAAACAAACAAGAAAGCATTCATTTGAAAAGATATGATTTGTACATATAAAGATGCAAATTAACCGCAGACTTGACCTTTATTAAATAAAGACAGCGAGTGGGAAAAAAAAAGATACAAGAAAAGAAAATTTAAGTGTAGCTAATTTCCATAGCAAATAAGTTATTCTCTACATAGTCCAAGATCTAGTCCAAGTCTAAGCTAAAGCTATATAAAAAGGCTGCAAAGGCATAATAAGATTACAGATAGTTTAGTTCACGGTTTGAACCAGCTTCCTGCCGTGAAAAGAGGTTGAAAAGGGGTTTTGCTTTATCAAACATTTTCGAAATTACAAACATTTTATTTTTCATTTATTATTGCCCGTCGTGGTGAAAATATTGCAAGCTATAAATATTTTCATAAACAAAATGCGGGCTAAATTAGATATATTCCCAAAATCCAATAATTGGGTCTACTCCAAAAATAGTTTATTTTTTACCAAACTCGTTTTCGGTTCACCGTAAAGAATTACATTGGAGTTGCAGATACGCAGCCTTGATATATAAGATATAACAAATACATTTTAAGATTTATTTATCACAAATAAACCATAAGATTATTAAAAATAAAAATAAATGACTAAGTAGAAAGTAGACAGGGATCTCAAGTATTGCTTACTTTAGTATTAAGTATGAACCAGGTAAACTCTCAACTAAAGCGGAAAGAAACTATATCAAAATGTTAACGGAAAAGTGAAGCGGAACCGATTTTTTCAAAAAACTCCATTATCTAAAGATTATTTCCATGTTGGACCGTTACAATAAAGTCTTCAAACTCTCAAAACATAGACACGCAAATTATTCATAATTATTTGATGGAGTGAAGATCTATTCGGTTCAGTCTGTAGTACAGAGTGAAGTTAGAATATCTATTGCATTAAATAATTTAAGCTACTTTCTCTCTATCAAAAAAGTTTATATACATATAGAAGTGTGTATTTGCGAAGTAAAGATCAGATAAAACTAGTTATAGAAAATACTTATGCCCAGTAAAGAAAATACTTAATTATCGCACATTTTGCTCTTATCGTAGAGTCATGTACAAAAACAGATGAAGCTTTATTCGGGCAAAATTTAATTTTTGTTGGGCTAGCTGGAAACAAAAGCTTTAAAAACTAACATAGATATCCGAAAGAGCAGAAAACAACAGCTTAAAAAGGGAAAGCAAAAATTTAATATTTGAAGTGCGTTTAAAATATTAATTGTAAATAAACAAATACCAGAAAAACAAATCAGCCAGTTCATATTTATTATCAAAGAAAAAAAAAAGAAACAAAAGTATTCATATCGCTAATTGTATTATTATTGTACATAAGTCTATATACATATATATATAGTATATTTAAGTATATACTTGCTAAAAGTACAGTTGCGCCAAAAACAAAACACTTTGAAAGCTAATCATTGAATGTGAATTAATGTATACCCAAAATCAAAACAAAAACTGAATAAACACTTGATATTTGTGCAAAAATAGAACACAAACGTGTGGAGCACGTGAGCGGAGCAGCCATTCCCCGGTATCACAATCATTTTTCATTCCGCCTATTATCGACCTGACGCTGGGTAATGCCAACACGGCATCGTTTATCTTTAAAGGTGCGGGACTTTTTTTTATAGTCTTCTACACGATGAGTTTTAAGCGTGTGTCGTGTAAACGCGGCCTAAATGCCCCAGTTGAGTATGCTCGACTAGTAAATATCCTCTAGTACTCACATATTATTCTCGGTATAAACCCCATCGAACATGTATTCCTAACTTCCGTTTTTATTGTACGATCTCTCTGAAAATTGAAGACATTACTAATGTCATTTCAATAAATCGAAAGGGTATCTTATAGTGAAGTATTGTCTTGAGCTTCTATAGTCTACGATCGCTCTCTAATCAATAATATATTTATGTGTACTTTATGCTAACGAAGATGTCTCCAACTGCCCTTTATATATGTGACAGGGCATTAAAACGCAAACTTTGTGACGTCAGAGTGCTGGCCCCTACTAATTAAATGATAAGGGGTAAAAACGCAAAAGGCGTTCGCACGACACGCGCAACACGTGATATAATCAAAATAATAATCACAACCGCCAGGCGTACTCCAATATGTATATGAGAATACTCGGAGCGAGTTGAAGTACCCGAAAGTACTTGCGATGATAATGAAAATTGGGACTCAGCATAGTGGGAAATTTGAGATCTAATCAGTTTTGGAGCATTCGATTTAAAAGCGCTTGGGTTTTTCAGAAGGTCCAACAGTAGAGAAACATGTGGAGTCCGACATTGATTGCTCTCAGTGTGCTTGCGCTGCTAGCCAGCAGCCAGGCACGACTCCTGCCCATCCAAGGCGAGCAGCTGTGGGCAGCGGATATGATCGAAGTGCCGCAGATGTTGGAGCCAGTCCAGCCGGCAAATAGAGCGGGTAAGAGCTAGGCCTTTGCGGCCCAAAGCCTAGACAGGACAATGAACTGGACGTTATCTATTCCTCTTAGCTGGCTGCTCCATTAAGATACGAAGCACCGAGATGAAAAATCCACAACCGCTTCTTATTAAGCCTGGCACCACGGAATTCTTTCCCTTCTCGGCGACTGGCAACGTGGATGTGGAGCATGACAAGACCATTGAGTTCCATTGCACCAGCAGCCTGGACTCGCCGCTTTCGGGCAAATCTGTGACGGCCAAGTGTGTGGGCGGTTCGACCTTTAAGGTTGGCGACAAGGAGCACGACATTTCGGCTATTAAGTGCACATCCTGGCCAGCCTTCGTGGGCAAGAAGTCCGGCTCCAGCTGCAACGGCGGCACCACCCTGATCAAGGTGGGCTTTGAGCTGAGCGACTCCCGGTTTGCCACACAGTACGAGGTGTGCTTCAATGAGGATGAGGAGGTCACTCGCTATGTCCACCACACCCTGGACTCCGGCAGCAATTACTATGCCACTGGCGTGGATCGCATCAACTTCGCCCCCGGCGGCTACTTCGCTGGCAAAAACGTGGACAAGCTGTACACGCAGGTGGTGCAAAAGGAGACCATTGACAAGGCCCTGGGCACGGATTCGGCCAACTACTTTGACTCACCGAAGAACGTGTTCCTCGCACGCGGTCACATGGGTGCCAAGGCCGACTTTGTCTATCCGCCCGAGCAGCGCGCCACCTTCCTGTTCATCAATGCCGCACCCCAATGGCAGACGTTCAATGCGGGCAACTGGGCTCGAGTCGAGGATGGCGTTAGGGCGTGGGTTACGAAGAACAAGAAACAGGTGGACTGCTGGACTGGCGTCTGGGGTGTCACCACATTGCCCAACAAGGATGGCAGGCAGACCAGTCTCTATTTGGCCTACGATCACAATGGCAATGGGTTGATTCCCGTGCCCAAGCTCTACTTCCGCGTGGTCATCGATCCCAGCACCAAGAAGGGCGTTGTCTTTGTTGGTGTCAACAATCCACACTTGAGTCTCGACGAGATCAAACGTGATTATATTCTGTGCGAGGATGTCAGCGATAAGATCAACTACATCAGCTGGAAGCGCACAGACCTTCTGGCGGGCTACTCATACGCCTGCGAGGTGTCCGAGTTCCGCAAAAAGGTTACCCATTTGCCCGCGTTCTCCGTCAGCGGTTTGTTGGTTTAATTGCCGTAGGATTAGCTTAGATTGAATTAAAGAAATTGCCAAATATTCATATTTGTTATAATATTAATGCTTTAAAGGAAAAGGGGAAATTAAAAGAGTTGATAATTAATTAATTATCAAATCTTTGATCTGGTATTCGCAGTGATTACTTATTCTGATATACAGAAAGTAGAAAAATATAATGTTTTCACTGAGGCTCGAACCAGTGGCCAACAAATATAAATCCACGGCTGCAAAACCAAACATCAATTGGCAATGGCTCGGTTCAAGGTTCGAACCAGCATTTTTTTTCTTTTAAAAAGTGCAATTAATCATATCAATTTGATATCGTAGTACCCCACATATTCCAAGCTCTACAAATGTTCATAGGCAGAAGGAAAGGAAAAAGAAGCTCTATCTTAAATTGATATCTACCCGATATAGTTAGATAAATGTACAGCTTGATGCCACGATTAATTGTGCTTTGGGACTAAGGCTTTTCAAAAACAGTTCAGCTTGGAGTTCCGGGCTTGTTTAAAACTTCATACCGATACATAAATCGGAGTAAATTGTGTGCAATGTCACAAGCCCTTCACAAATAAGTTTTGTTGGCATTTTTTTGAATATTCGATTAAGCAGTTCATTTTATTGTAATATCCTAGACAAGTAGACCAGCATTTGCCGTCAGAGCGGGCAAATGTTTGACGGTCTTGAGGAAGTCGGCGACCTCGCAGGCATAGGACCAGCCAGCCTTGATGTCCGTCTTCTTCCAGTTGATGTAGGTGACCTTGTCGCTGACATCGTTGCAAATGACATAGTCTTTCTTGATCTGCTCCTCAGTCAAATGGGGATTGTTGACGCCGACAAAGACGATGCCGCGATGCGTTGAGGGCTCAATGACCACACGGAAATAGAGCTTGGGCACGGGAATCAGTCCGTTGTTGTTGCCATCGCGGGCCAAGTAGAGCGGAGTCTCCACACCATCTTTGTTGGGCAGCGTAGTCACGCCATAGACGCCCGTATAACAGTTGACATTCATTTGGTTCTTGGACACCCAAGCCCTGACGCCATCCTCGACACGTGCCCAGTTGCCGGCATTGAAGACCTGCCATTGGGGCGCCGCATTTATGAACAGGAAGGTGGCGCGTTGCTCGGGCGCATAGTCAAAGTCGGCCTTGGCGCCGAGATGACCGCGTGCCAGGTAAACGTTTGATGCCGAGTCGAAATACTTATCCGCATCGCCGCCCAAATCCTTGTTGATGGTCTCGAGCTGTGTGACCTGCGTGTACAGCTTGTCCACGTTCTTGCCATTGAAGTAGCCAGCCGTTTGGAAGGTAATGCGGTCCACACCCGTCTCATAGTAGTTGCTGCCCGGGTACAGCTGGTGGCGCGTGTAGCGGGTCACCTCCTCCTCCTCGTTGAAGCAAATTTGCATTTGCTCGGCAAAGCGCGACGAAGAGATCTCAAAGCCCACGCGAATGACCACACCACCATTGCACGTGGCGCCAGACTTGACGGCCTTGAAGCCAGGCCAGGAGTTGCAGTAGAGATCCTTGAACTCGTGATCACTGCCATCCACCTTGAAGGTGGTGCCGCCCACGCAGGTCGCAGTCAATAGATTTTCGGAGTGTGTGCCAAATCCGCTGGGGCACCACAGCTGCAGGGTCTTGCCGTTCTCCACATCCATGACGCCCAGATGGTTGAAGGGATACAGGTTCTCCGAGTTGGTTTCCAGGTAAACTGGCTCTGGCTTGGGCAGACCACCGCGGATGGTCACACTGCAGCCTATTGGTGACGGACATTGAGAGTTAGCAAGTGGTGTAGACAACTTGAAGATCGATACTCACCGGCAGCACGGCCTTCTGGCAAGGGGTCGACATAGATGGCACGCTCGTAGAGCTCATCCTCAAGAACTGGCGGCACCTCAATGTCGGGCAGGGGCTGGTAGGGCACGCGAGCCCAGGCCGCTTGAGCAGCGAATAGCAATAGGAGACTGACGCACTTCATTTTGCGTATAGCCAAAACATTGGATGCGACCCAAACTTAAATAGGCTCAGCCGCCAAATATAACTTAACATTATCTAATGGCATTTGGCAAATTAATTAAAAATATTTCCCAAATCATCAACACGAATATTGATAAAATTCCATATCAATTTAAAATGATTCGATGGGGCTATTTAAGTGCTGCATTCATTTGCTTCGAGTGCCCCGCACAGATAACAATTGTCGGAGAGAATCTTCAGCTGACAAAGCGGGGAACCCTTAAGGGGGAATACTTAAGGGGGGCTAAGCTCAATATGTCAAAGTTCGGTGGCCATTGGCATTAATTAATGAAATGTAAAATGAACAAAACGGTGTGGATGACAACAGGAAGCGCAGCGATGAAACGAAAGCAATTAGGCTCAAGGACAAACGATAACAAGGATATGGAGGGGGGCGGAGCTCAAGCCAGCGCCACTTTGAGGGGCGCGTATAATTTGTGAAAATTGATGATTTGTTTAGATTTACGAATGAGCGAGCAAAACGAGCCAAATTGGCACGTAGCAAGGACAAAAACGACAGCAAAATGGGCAAAAAAAAAAGCAGAAATAAAAAAAGGACAAGGCACCCGGATCACCAAGGAAACGGAATGTGCTGCCTAAGG